ATTTAACTTTTTAAAGCTTCACCACCACCACCTCTTTTTTTAAACAAAATGCCATGTTAAAATAATCGCCTTGAGCCAAACGTGAAGTATAACTGTCGGTGCTGGGGGTGGGTTTTCTGCCTTCTCTGCCTCCCTGAGCCTCACCTGGGCAGAGCCCGGCGCTCGCCCGCAGCCTCCACCGCGCAGAGGACTCATTTCTGGAGGCTAATACTGCAATACGTCCCGGCGAGATGAGGTATGAGATTGTGTTCCCGTGTGCCGAGAACCAGCCCGAGATTGTCAGAGCATTTATATTCATGAGAGTGAAGTACGGCCGAGCCCGACGAGGCTTTCTGGGGGCCTTAAATGAGCAGATACAGCCTTAACTCTTCACAGTACCCCTTTACTTAGGTCTGCTCAATGACTGAAATGGGGAAAATGGGCCCCGGAGGCTTTTTTTATCACTTGGGTGTTGATTGGAATATTTACGCACGTGAGAAATCCGGTGGTGGTGGGTCTCCAGTAGCAGCGATGGGATGGGGCAGCTTTGGTGCGGGGGAGATGTGGATGGAGAGGGCGATGGTGTGGGGTGTTGTTACCTCCCTCGGGTGACCGAAATGCTTTGGGTGGTGAGAAGCTCTCGGGGAAGCCACTTCTTAAAACGGTTTTGCGGTCTTTTTGGTCCAATGTTGCCCATGTTTGGTTGGCTTCCTAATGGGGGGACGTTTACCCTGTTAATTTGGGAGGGAGCGGCAGGGCTGAGCACACGACGCCGCGGTGCTTCGGGCGCCGTGCATCAGTGAGGGCTTCCGTTCCTCTCAACTTCCCAATTCAGTAACTCACAGCGACACAACTTGGGTGACTTGGGAAAGCCGAGTTCTCAGCGGGCACTGGGGATTTTCCACCCCACAGGGAATTACAGGAGGCTGAGACGTGCGGAGACCCCCCCTGCGTCGCTTCCCCTCCACTGCCCGCCCCACAGATCGTCATGAGGCGGTACTAGGAGTTAAACGAAGACACTTCTGTTTATGGTCTGATTTAGCATCCTTGGGCCCAACTGTGGTTGGGGTCACGGCAGGGAGAGGAGGAGATGCAGGGAGATAGTGCTGGGGAGGAGGAGGAGGAGGAGGAGGCGTCACTCCAGGTCTCTGAGTACAGGTGCGGAAGGGAAATCTTAGTGCAGGAAAATGGGATGGATTCTCAGGAATCGGCATAGAACTGGTGTCGGAGAAAAAGAAATTGTTTTCGTGCTTACCTCCATCCCCCCTGTGGTGTAAGACATGCCCGCCACGTTTTGTTGGCTGTGAAGAGACCGATATTGTCTCTGTCTCTTCATCCAAAGCATTTGTCGTGGTCTCCGGTGGCGATTACGGCTTGGTGTATTGCCGACAGCTCAGAGGATAATCGGGTGGCTTCTTCGTTTAACTGTACCGCCGCTGCAAACTGCCTCACAGGTCACCCGGCAGGGGATGCTGCGCAGCGGCACGGTGTGCGCCGGAGCCCAGGAGGGGGTTAGTTGTCAAGTGCTTCGCAATTTCCTCCATCTTGGGGCAATCCCAAGTACAGCTCCAGGCTGGGCAGGGAATGGCTGGAGAGCAGCCCTGAGGAGAAGGCCCTGGGGGTGCTGATGGATGAGAAGCTCACCATGAGGCGGCAATGTGCGATCGCAGCCCAGAAGGCCAACTGTATCCTGGGTTGCATCAGAAGTGTGGCCAGCAGGGCGAGGGGGGATTGTGCCCCTCTGCTGCGCTCTGCTCTGGGGAGACCCCACCTGGAGTACTGCCTCCAGCTCTGGAGTCCCCAACATAAGAAGGACATGGACCTGCTGGAGCGTGTCCAGAGGAGAGCCACGAGGATGATCCGAGGGCTGGAGCCCCTCTCCTATGAGGAGAGGCTGAGAGAGTTGGGGCTGTTCAGCCTGGAGAAGAGAAGGCTCCGGGGAGATCTTATTGCGGCCTTCCAGTCCCTAAAGGGGCTCCAGGAGAGCTGGGGAGGGACTTTTTACTGGGGCATGGAGTGACAGGACGAGGGGGAATGGCTTCAAACTGGAAGAGGGCTGGGTTAGATTAAACATTAGGAAGCAGTTTTTCCCTGTGAGGGGGGAGAGGCACTGGAAGAGGTTGCCCAGAGAGGGTGTTGAGGCCCCATCCCTGGAGGTGTTCAAGGCCAGGCTGGACGGGGCTTGGAGCAACCTGGGCTGGTGGGAGGTGTCCCTGTCTGTGGCAGGGGGGTTGGAACTCGATGGTCCTCAAGATCCTTTCCACCCTAAACCATTCTATGATTCTATGATCTTACCGGCCCAGGGACTGCAAGACCCAGCCCGTCCAGGGCTGTTGTGGCATATGTGGGATGGATATTTAGCTTAGATCAAGTTGCTAATGCTCAAGGAGTCATCGGTTTCCATAAAACCTCTCTTGGGTTGGAATTCCGAAGCGGGGATCTGGGGAGGTTTGCGACATGCGTGGACAGGGGATGTAACGGGCCGGTGCTGAGCATCAAACTCCACCTTTCCATCAGCTCTGAAATTAGAGTCGGCTCTTGTGAGTGTGTAGAGAACTGCTATTAAGGCCGCTGTGCAAAAAAAAAAAAAAAGAAAATGGGTCAGAATATCAGTTACCACTGGAGTAAAACATCCAGCACCTTGCAGGGCATTTAACCAGTAGGAACGCCGCTGGAGGAGGTCTGGAGAGAGTTAGTTCCTCGCTGCTTGGGATAGAATTTGGCCCCACAACCCCTTCAGCGGTCTGAAGGGAGCTATGATTAAAACCGCGTTAAACCACAGATCAGAAACGGCTCCCATTAATTGGGCTTTAACATAGCGCGGCCGCTTAACGCGAGCCAACCTGAACGTTGTAGGTGTTCAGAGAAAGCACATCGGGACATTCGTCACGTAAGTGATACAGATAAATAGTGTATTTATAAATGGTAGTGGTGTTTACGCTTTATTCTATTGCATATTGCAAACACATACATGCATGGGCAATACATTAAAGTGTGATAAAAGCACACATTTCTGTACTGCTCGGGAAGGGGACCATCCTGACCTGTGGGAGAGCACGAGGTGACACCTGAGCCATGTTATCAAATGCTCTCGTGCGCCCTAACGGTTTCAGTGCGGGCTGCCGAGTCTTTCATAGAATCATAGAATGGTTTAGGTTGGAAAGGACCTTGAAGATCATCCAGTTCCAACCC